TTTTAGGATCATTTAATAATTTTTGTGATAACGTTTTCACAAAAGTTATAAATTAACTCAAAAAAGTTATAATTCAAACCTTAAAAGTTATAATTTGACCTAAAAAACTATAAATATTTTAATTATAAGATAATCTCAAAATTTATATCAAAACCCATAAAAATTTTAAATTTTAAAAGTACGGTACCCATTTTTTTTCAGTCGTGTCCCAATCTGTCATGTATATATTACTTTGCTTTGAGTTTAGATATTTTTGGCTTGGACTTTTATCTGATGAACTTTTTTGTGGGGTTTTTACTTTTAGCAATGCTATTTGAATTTAATTTGAAAACTTATTTTGTGAACCTAATTAATTATAATTGCTAGATTGAAAGTGAATTACATTTTAAATGACAACTTTCAAGAATTAAGTTGCTATTTAAGTTCTAAAATTAAGTTTATATAACATTGTCCTTCAACTTTTTGTGAGACTTAGAGTTCTTGTATAGGGTATTACTAGGGATAACATGTGTCTGAAGGCATAATACAACGTAAACTAACCGGTTAATTTAGAGACGTGAAGAGTGAAAATTCCAGAGAGAGACTGTGAAGAGTGAGAAGAAGAAGGTAAAATTCAATGTGAATGATTTTTAGAGCAATGTTAGTGATCATTTGATGAGTTTATTTGAAAACGGATGAACTTATTGAAGTCTGCTCGGTTTTATATTCTAGATATTATTATAAGTATATTATATACATATATAAAATATGCAGTTTTTTTTTTCTTTTTTAAAAGTGAGGCCTAGAACGATTTCTTTATTTGTTTTATGCTAGGGGACCCAATCCTGTTCCCACCTTTCCGTCGCCGATGATCCGCGTGCTGTCTGTCCTAAGTGCGACGCTTATATGACCAAGGAGGTGACCTACGTTGCACGAGCCAAGGCCAAAGAGGTGTCAGCTGGTGAGGCGGCAGGAGGGTATGTTAGAGGGGTGGTAACTTATATGGTGATGGATAACTTGGCGGTGAAGCCTATGTCTACTATCTCTTGCATTACTATGCTTAACAAGTTCAATGTTAAGGATGTTGGTGCTCTTGAGGAGAGGGTTGTTGATTTTGGAATGAATGAGGTAAGTCACATGTCTAATCCCATTTTTTTATCAAAACAAAGTGTATGTCTAGTTTCATTCATGCGTTTGTCTTTTGGGGAAAGGTAAAGTAGCGAAATTATTCTATATGGACATTTGCCACTACAAGTTGTCTAGTTATCATAGATTTGATATCCTATGTTTTAAAATTTGTTTCATCTATATCTTTTCTGAGTAATGTTACACAATTTGAATGAAACTCCAAAAATTATAACTCAAATAGATATCATTCCTTAGATGTGTTAGTCTCAACAACTTTTTCAGTGAGGACCCACTCATCCAACACTCATCTAGCAGATGATATGTATTTGGATTACACTTTTTGAGTTTTATTTTAAAGGTGTAACATTTTTCATCTTTTTCTGAACCAGGTTGAGTGGTAAATTCATCCATATATACCATTATTCCTGAATTTTAAATCTCAAATGAATATGACCCACTTATCCAAGGGTCGAGAGTCATTTGGGATTCTATTTGGGATCCCTAGCATTTCCCTTCACCAAACCTATGTTGGTAGGCAGGTTGGGTGGGTATTCTCAAGTTTGAAGAACTAATTTAAATGTGATTTCTTATTAGGCTGTGAAGCTGTTGAAGACATCTATGGAGTCTAAAACAGTCCTGACCACCGTCTTCCTTGAGAATGTGGTGGCCTAAGATGCTATTCTTACACCAACATTGATGTCATTAGTATTCTTTTTGCATGAGATGTCTATGTTGGTTTAGGAATTGGACTTGTGCATATGATGACACTACTAGTATTGGGTTTGTTTAACCTATAGATATACGGAGGTGGTTATTGGGCTGAAAGATTGAACACAATGCTTTATCCTCCTCTTGGTTTTTTCTATGTAATATTTTATTTTTCGACAGCTCTTGGTATAATGAAATTAGCTTGTAACAAGTCTAAGGTTGAATGAAATATAATCCTGCTCTTGGTATGCTTGAATGATGGTGACCTTACCTGTTCTTCCCTATGCTTGAAATGTGGACCAAGAATTATAGGTTTTTTTTTTTGCAAATGAAAGAAGTTGTTTGTTTGATCTTCATTCCTCGGTTAAAATGGGAAAAAAAAGTCATTTGAAAATGAAAGTAGTAAAGTATTCTAACATCGTGTTTTTAAAGTTACTTTTTTTTTTGAACTGAAAAAAAAATTCGAGAGAGCAATTGATAAGAAACTTCTACTTGGACGTGATTGTAGTAGACCAAAATCATGAGGGAAGCCACCAGTGGCACCTAGATTTTTTGGGGTGCAACTTATCTTTAAGAGTGCACATTGATACAAATTTTTATGTTTAAGGGTGCAAATTGAGATTTTTGATCTTTGGGAGTGTACAAATTGATACAAATTTCTATGTTTGAGAGTGTAAATTGAGATTCAAACGATATTTCAGAGTGTAATTTGTAATTAACCCAAATTTTTTTGGCCCCTTATTTTGGAATTGGACAATGGTACTTTTCGTAATTAATGCTTAAAAGGGGTACAATGGAATATAATAAAAATTAAATGTTATTTGGAATCAGTTTTGAAAAGTATTACTCAATAGTCAAAATATACATTTCATATGACTCCATTCTTTTTGAGAGAAAAAGTTAAATTTATTGGTGTTTTTCCCTCTTTCTGTTCCCTACGCTACTTTCCAGAATTTCTATTTATGTTGATATTGATACCGATATTAATCAAATCAAATCAAATTAAGTCTTATGTCTTAATTATTTGGGACCGGATATATGAGTCCATTTTTGTCATTCATTTTGACCATGCGCTATATGCTCATTTAAATTAAATATTTTCATATATTTTTTATTATTTTGTTTAATATTAATTTAGGTATACCCCTACTTCTAGTACCATTACGAGAAATTCTCTCATTTGTTTGAGTCAATGCCTCTATCGGCCTTCGTTGAATATGACCAAATTATCTTAATTTATTTTCTCTTAACTTATCTTCAATTGGAACAACTCCTACCATTTCTGTAATACGGACATTTCGTATTCTATATTTTCTAGTTTTTCCACACATATATCTTAGTATTCTCAGTTTTACTACACTTATTTTTTCACTATATTATTTACTAATTGCCAATATTCTGTCATATTATTTTATTGTTGATCATTTTTTTATTACTTTATGCTTTCAGGCACGACAATAACTAATCTATATAATAAAGTAACACATAAAAAATGACTTTTAACTTTCATGGTTGACATCGTTATAAATTTTACTTTAAAGTTAATTTGACGGCTAATATTAACTCTTTAAATTTAATAGGCAAAATAGGTTTTCTAAGGGTGTGTTTGGGGTAACATTTCAAGAGTGCTTCTAAAACTTTTAAAAAGGAAAGCAGTGTTTGGAATAAGTTATTTTAATTACTTTCAAATAAGACAACAGTAATTTTACCACTTAAACAAATAAGTAATTAAAAGTAAAAAAAATAATAATAAAAACTTCAACTTCTTTAAAATCACTTCTATACAAAACACTTCATCATTTCTCTGCATCTTTAAAAAAATAGCTTAGTTTGCAAACCCAATCACGGTGACGACTAGATAGATGAACCTTCTTGAAAATATCATCCAGCTGATCAACTGAAGCAACCGAAAAAAGACGAAGAATGCCCTCCTGTAGGTGATGGCGCACAAAATGACAATATATTTCAATGTGTTTTGTGCACTCATAAAAGACATTGTTGTGACCAATTTGAGTAACACTGAGGTTGTCACAATAAAAAGGAATACTTGACTAGTGAGGAACACCCATATCCTGTAAAAGCCAATGAAGTCGAAGGAACTCGAAAGTACTATCAATACGTGCTCAATACTAGAGTGAGCAACAACTGTTTGCCTCTTACTCTACCAAGATATAAGAGAGTCACCTAGTAGACAAAAGAAGATAGTGGTATACCGTCGATCGGTAGGGTCACCAGCCTAATCAGAATCAGAGTAAACCTGCAACATCAAGGATGGGTAAGAAGAAAAATAAAGCCCACGGAACAAGTTGCCCTTCCCATAGTGCGAGATGCGACGAACAACTGCATAGTGAAAGGAACGAGAATCAGCATAAATTGGCTAACGAGATGCATAGTATAGGCAATATCCAACCTAGTCACAACGAGACAAATGAGGCTCTCAATAAATTGTCAAGAACAGGTAGTGTCTGGAAGAAGTGATTCATCAGTAGGACGGAGTTTGATGTTGGACTCCAAGGGCAATCAGTTGTCTTACAATTGGTAAGACCAAGAAGAGAGAGAAGATTGAAAACATACTTGGTTTGGGTCAAATAGTAGCCATCAAAGGATTAAGACACCTGTAGTCTAAGAAAGTAATTGAGAGAGTCCAAGTCTTTCATCTCAAAGTGTTGACTAAAAACCTGCTTAAGCTCATGAATGCCAAAAATATCATCATCAGTAATGATTATAAAAAAGTAGAATAGTAATACCAACATTAGTATGGCGAGTAACAAAAGTAGAATCATAGGGACTCGAAGCAAACCAAAGTTGTGCGATAGTGGTGGCAAATTAGGCGTGTAGAGCTTTCTTAATCCCATATAATGTACGTTAAATATAACACACCTTACCAAGAGGATGAAGACACCCCTAGGGGTGCTGCATATAAACCTACTCAACCAAGTCACCATGTAACAAGCCTTTCTTCACATCCATTTGAAATAAAGGCCATCAGCATGCAGAATTTGTTGTTAAAAGGGAGCGAACAAAGGTAATGGCAGCAACAGGAGCAAATGTCTGCTCATAGTTAATGTCATACTCATGTGTAAAGCCCTTGGCAAGCATACGAGCCTTATATCGCACCTTAGAGTTGGTTTTCTTCTTATATACCCATTTGTTCTCAACTACAGTCTTTTTATGAGGCAAATCAATCAAATTCTATGTATGAGTTTTGTGAAAGGTATCAAGTTCTTTAGACATAACTTGCTACCAAAGAGGATCAAAATAAGCCTCACAATAACTATGAGGCTTATGAGGAATATCAAGAGATAAAAACAATCATAATTACTAAGATGGACAAGGGGAGATCTTACCTTATTAGAATGGTAAACATCAAAAGTAGAGGAGGTCTTAGGTGGATCAGATTTGATGACAGGATCCATAGACGATCTAGTGTCATGAGAAGTGGTCGTTGAGTTATCACTTGATGAACTTACATTACTTACAGCCGAAGGAAAATATGGGAAAAGATCTACAGTTAGGTTAATTGAGGAGGGCTCAGGTGGATCAGATGTGATGACAGGATCAATAGACGATCCAAAATCACGAGGAGCAGTCGTTGAGTTATCACCTAATGAGCTTATATTACCTACATCAAGAAGGAAAATCTCGAAAAAGATCTACAAACGGGTTAATGAAAACAAGAGAATATGAGGAAGCATCGGATGAGAACTGAGAAACACTAGTCAAGACTTTGTGTTCCCAGAACTGAACATCTGGGGAGACTCGAAGACGCTTGGTTATGGGGTCATAGAACCGATAACCCTTATGTTCAATGCCATAACCAAAGAAAATAACAAAGACGAGAACGGGGTTCAAGTTTTGTATACTCATGAGGTGGGAGTAAGATAAAACAAACACAACCAGAAACTTTTAAAAAAGAATAATCAAGTACATTTTCGTAGAAAAGTTCATTTGGAGATCGATTTGAGATAGTAGGAGATGGAACCCAATTGATACTCTAAACAATAGTAAGGGCGGCTTCTCTCCAAATACATTTTGGGAGAGAGGCAAAAGAAAGGAGAGAACGAAAAGTGTCAAAAATTTGATGATGCTTATGTTTTGCACAACCATTCTGTTAGGAGGTGTAAGGATACGATCAATGAGACAAAGCATCTGTCTGTTTAAGTTCTTCAATGAATGAGGCAGCTTTATACTTTACCACATTATCAGAATGACAAATTTTAATAGTGTGATCAAACTAAGTTTTTATTATCTGCTTAAAATCACGAAAGTTATTAAGTAACTTATAATGATCATGTAAAAGATAAAGGCATATTTATCGTGAATAATCATCAATAAAAATTATAAAATAACGAGACCCGCCCTTACTAAAGACAAGAGCAGGTCCCCAAATATTAGAATGAACCAAATCAAAATGTACAAAAGACAAATAATCACTTCCACTAAAAGGTAAAGTTTTATGTTGCCCAGTTGACAAGATATACAATCAAGCAATTCAAATTTAACATCTCCTAAACAACCACTAAAAGCTACAGACTAGACACAAGGTAAAGATGTATGATCGAGAAGAGAATGTCAAATACTAGAAGAGACAACAACAACAAAAGGTTGGACATAACATGAGTTAGACACACATTGATATGTAAGTTAAAAAGATGACCAACTTTACGCCCGGTCCTAACGAGCTAGCCTGTGTTCTGGTCCTACACATCACAACCTTTGTAAGAAAATGTTAAGATAAGACTATATTCAACAAGTTGACTAACAGAAAGAAGATTTATAGACAAGTTAAGAACAAGATACGTGTCAAGTATAGAAAGAGCAGGGGTAAAACTAGGACTAACATGAGTAACAGATTTGTGTGAATCGTTAGTAGTATATATGTGAGACACAAAGTTTAAAAACTTCTTATGAGGCACCAAGGAAGAATCAAATGTTATAAGATTGCAATAGGCTGAGTCGATAAACCAGGGAGGAGATTTACCTGAAGAGATTGATAAGACAGTGGAAGAACGAGATAAAACCTTGGTCATAATTGCCTCAAGGTCCGCTACAATAAGATAAGACAAAAAAGTTGTTGTAGCGGGAGTGACGCCGAAGGACAACCAGAGGATGGCCAGGAGGCAATTGGAACGTAGTTGGAGGATGACTGAAAATTCGCCAGATGACAGTTGGGAGACAATCGGAACATCGCCAAAGGACGATCCTAAAGTAGTTGTTGTCAGATGGTTGGGAGACAATTAGAATACTGTCGGAGGACGACCAAAAAATCGCTGAAGAATAACCGAAAGAGGTTGCTAGAGGATCATCACAAGGAGAAAAGCCCCAAGAGTTATGATGTGGAGGATCCCTCATAGGGCAACTACAACGTATATTATCATTGGCTTGAAAGATTCACGAGCCTAGGTTCTGATAGCATATGAAATAAGAGAATAAAAAATGAATATCAATTGTATATTGTTCAGTCGTATTTTAACATATACATTAGAAGATTTATATATAGTATAAGAAAGTAGTGAAGCTTTCTAGTTTAACTGATGATAGACAAATATATAAACATATAAACATTAAAAAAGTAATTTTAGGTTAACCCACATGAAGGTAGAATTGTGTTCCATCATTTGCAATATGATGATCATAGTATTTGCCACCTATTTAAGGTTTTTCCAGAAGTTTAACTAAATATAGTTTCATAACTTTGACTGACTTTATTTTTGTACCCGAATGTCCCATTCACAATAGAATGATTTATTTTACTTTATGTTACTTTTTAGTGAACCCTTAACCTCAATAGACCTTTGTTTCAATAGTATTTCTTATCTCGTAAAAATTTTGTTTTTTTGAAGTCAAGAGTTCAAGTCTCGCTTCTCCGTTCCTCCCAACACCCCCCCCCCAAAAAAAAAAAAAAACAAATAAAAAGGTAATCTGAAAAAACTTAAATTCAACCCCTACAAGGGGGATCATTCTATTAACACATCTTTTGATTAAAAAAAAAAAAAAAAAGGGCGGGGTGGATGAGGGAAACATCGTTTTACCCCCTTGTGGTATGACCCGTTTGCACGTCACTTCCCTAAGGTTGTCAAATGGAACTTAATCCCCTTGTGGTTTTTGGACTAAAATGCACTACTTAACTCCATTAACGGCAAGACTAAAATTTTGCCACTGTTATTGCTTGCTTGTGGAGCACATGTGTTGATTTTAAAAAAAAAAAAATTCTTACAATTTCGCAAGTAACAATACCGAACCGAAGTCAACAAAAAAAAAAAAAAAAAACTCTAAGCCACTGTTAATTTATCAATGTTTGAATTCAATGTTTCACAGTGATCTAAAAATGCCACATAACTTCTATCTACAATTTCCAGATCATTTACTTTAAAGAAAAACTATATAATTATACATATTTAAGAATGTTGCTAAATGTCTTACATTTCTATCCAAGGTTGTCATGGCAAATATAATTGCTCGAGTTCAGTTGGGTTTCAATTGGTTCAAATTTGTTTGAATTGATAAATGAATCGAGTATGATCAAAATATTGATCTCCTTTAATATTATTTATACTATAATATGTATGAGTCATTTTCAAGGAGGAAAAACAACAAATTAAAACACATAAAACATAATTAGCTAGGGGCAAGGTAGGGCGGCCCAATGTTTTCAGAGGTTTAAGGCTAAAATTATAAATGGGCCTTATTAAAACTAAGTATAATAGTATATATGATATTATGTATTTATTAAAAAAAAAGTAAACATATATTAGGTTTATCTATTTTTTTTTACTGTAAATTTAATTTTATTAAATGTCCGGTTGTTCAATTGTTAAACCATTACTTGCACTTATATTTTTATTTTATTTATTACTAACTATAATTCTACGCACTTCTTTTTTTAGTTCAAATGTATATTTTATTTATCTTTTTGTTGGGCCTTTTTTATAACAAGATTTATATTTTTAAGTACAGTATTTATTATCTGGGGTCCAAAAAAATTGGTCGCGCTGAATTCTGACTCTCTTGTGATTAATTATTAATTTTTTGAATTCTTTTTTAAAATAGACAAAATAGGATTATTAAATAATTAAAAATTGTACAAAATTATTAAAAAATAAAAAATTATAATTTAACTGATTAAAATAAAAAGCAAGAGAGAGAGAGAGAGCATTCACAGAACTTTTTTAGAAATGGCAAACGAACAACCCTGCAAGCACCAAAAAAGATAAAGATAAAAAAAAAAAAGGACAGTTATGTACAAAAATTTCTCGACCTAGGGGCCCTAGAAAGTAAACTTGTCCTAGTTGAGTGTGGATTAAGAGAATAATTTTGTGGGTCCATAAGCACCAAAAAAAGAAAAAGGACAATCAAGTACAAAAATTTTTTCACCTACGGGCCCTAAAAAATAAAGTCTGGATTGGAGAATAATTTTGTGGGTCCAATTGTCTGAATAGATGCTGCCAAAAAGAAAAGATATTGAGGCCTAGGAGGCTAGGACCGGTCCTGGTTATGGGTGTGAGTGCCAATAGGTGGTTGTGTTAGATGAATTTTTTAGGCGGAGGGGAGGTTGTTTGAATTGATTTTTTTATATTCTTTTAAAATTAAATTTTTTTTTATAAAGATGTAATTTAATATTGAATTCGGTTTACGTCTATATTTGATATGTAATACATACACACACATGTAGGATTCATAATATTTCATAATTATTAATAACTATTTATCTTGTAAATGATTATTAAATTTTTTTTTTTTTTTTTACGTAGTTTTTAAACAACAATTTTTAACTTAAAAAGGTTAGTCCCAAACGGGCCCGCCCCATAGGTAGCGTATGCAAACACGGTTAAAAGCCAGTCATGACGAAACTCAAAACTAATAGACCTTTCACAGCCATGGCAGACTCGAAAGTGAGCTTGAAGCTTCTTATAGACACAAAAACCAACAAGGTTCTCTTTGCAGAAGCTGGCAAAGACTTCGTTGATTTCCTCTTCAACCTTCTCTCTTTGCCTGTTGGAGCAGTCGTTAGGCTTCTCACAAAGCAATCCATGGTGGGTTCGCTGGGTAACCTTTACGAGAGCTTCGAAAACCTGAGCGAAACCTACTTTCAACCCGACCAGAACAAGGACTCTCTCTTGAAACCCAAAATCTGTGCTTCTCAAGTTCCTCTGTTGCTGCCTGATGTATCATTTGTTACGAACAAGAAGTTCTACACGTGCTCCAACTATCAGCCGGGTCAAGAGCATTCAAGGTCATCACGGGTATGTTTTTTCGGGGATAAGTTTGGATGGTAATGGATAATGAAATTCAGGTCAATCCAACACAATAGTTTTTATATCTTGGTATGTATATTTTCTTCAATATCATCCCATGTTTGGATGCGTGTTGAGTGTTTATAATGGGCTCCACAAAAAAAGGCATAATATTAATTGACCACAATAATTTTTGTATTAATTTAACTATTATATCATATTGACAGCCCATATACCTCTCTACAATATAACATACTAGATGCTATGAGATAAGCCCTTCTACATGGGTTTCGGGGCATTGTAGCATGCAGGCCGGGATTTTCACCCCATTAATAATCTCTCATGTAAAAAACACAACAAAAAAAGTGTAAGTGGAGTCCATGTGGTATTTATCTCTATTCTCCACCTTAATACCGATCTAATACCGAAAAGAAACATGCAACGAAGTTTTGTTTTTAATGAGTAAAGTGACAACTCTAAAAACTTCTCAAAGGAGAATTTTATTTTACCTTATCGTAGTTATAAATTTTGTGGATTTTTTTTATTACTTTTTAGAAACATTTAACTCAAAAAAAATTATAATTCAAACCTTAAAAGAAATAATTTGACCTAACAAATTATAAATTTTTTAATTATAAAATAATCTCAAAATTTATATCAAAACCCATAAAAATTTTAAATTTTAAAAGTATGATGCCTATTTTTTTTTAGTCGTGTCCCAATCTGTCATGTACAAATTAATTTGCTTTGGGTTTAGAGATTTTTGGCTTAGACTTTTATATGAGGTACTTTTTGTGGTGTTTCGACTTTTAACAATGCTATTTGAATTTAATTATGTTGTGAACATAATTAATTATAGCTGCTAAATTGAAAGTGAATTACATTTTAAATTAAAACTTACAAGAATTATATTACTACTTTTGTTCTAAACTTAACTCCATAAAACATTGTTCTTCGACTTTTTGTGAGACTTAGAGGTCTTGTATAGGGTATTATATTATTTTAAATATATACATATATAAAATATGCAGCTTTTTTTTTCTTTTTTCTAGAGTGAGGCCTAAAACGATTCTTTTTTCTGTTTTATGGTAGTCCGACGACTCGTCCCGACCGTGTTCCTACCTTTCGGTCGCCGATGACCCGAGTGCGGTCTGTCCTAAGTGCAATGCTTATATGACCAAGGAGGTAAGCTACGTTGCACGGGCCGAGGCCGAAGAGGTGTCAGCTGGTGAGGCAGCAGGAGGGTATGTTAGAGGTGTGGTGACTTATATGGTGATGGATGACTTGGCGGTGAAGCCTATGTCTACTATCTCTAGCATTACAATGCTTAACAAGTTCAATGTTAAGGATGTTGGTGCCCTTGAGGAGAGGGTCGTTGATTTTGGAATGAATGAGGTAAGTCACATGTCTAATCCCATTTTTTATCAAAACCAAGTGTATGTCTAGTTTCATTCAATCATTTGTCTTTTGGGAAAAGGTAAAGTAGTAAAATTATGCTATATGTACATTTGCGACTACAAGTTGTCTAGTTATCATAGATTTGGTATCCTATGTTTTAAAATTTATTTCATCCATATCTTTTCTGAGTTATGTTACATAACTTGAATGAAACTCAAAAAATTACAACTCAAATACATATTATTCTTTGAATGAGTTAGTCTCATTAATTTTTTCAGTGGAGACTCACTCATCTAACCCTCATTGAATGAATGATATGTATTTAGATTGTACTTGTTGAGTTTTATTTTAAATATGGAACATTTTTCATCTTTTCTGAGTCAAATTGAGTGGTAAATACATCCATATATACCATGATTCTTGAATTTGAAATCCCAAACGAATATGACCCACTTATCCAAGGGTCCAGAGTCATTTGGGTTTCTATTTGGGATCACTAGCATTTTTGTTCACCAAACCTATGTTGGTAGGCAGGTTGGGTGGGTATTCTCAAGTTTGAAGAACTGATTTAAATGTGGTTTCTTATTAGGGTGTGCAGCTGTTGAAGACATCTTTGCAGTCTGAAACAGTCCTGACCACCATCTTCCTTGGGAATATGGTGGAGTTGTCCATACAATGACGGTACTAGTATTGGATTTGTTTAACCTATATATATGTGGAGGTGGTTATTGGGCTGAAAGATTGAATACAATGTTTTATCCTCCTCTTGGTTTTTACTGTGTAAGATTTTATTTTTCGACAGCTCTTGGTAAAATGAAATTAGCTTGTAACAAATCTAAGGTTGAATGAAATTACAATCCTGCTCTTGGTATGCTTGAATGATGGTGAGCTTACCCGTTCTTCCCTATGCTTGAAATGTGGACCAAGAATTACAGTTTTTTTTTTTTTTTGGCAAATGGTGGAAGTTGTTTGTTGAAAATGAAAGTAGTAAAGTATTCTAACATCATGTTTTTAAAGTTTTTTTTTTTTTGAACTGAAAAAAATAAAAGATTCGAGATAGCAGTCGATATAAAACTCCTGCTTGGATGTGACTGTAGTAGACCTAATACAGTCCTAAATCCTAATATACATTTTTGAAAGAAAAAGTTAGATTTATTGGACACTAATTTGCAGAATTTCTATTTATGTTGTCATTGATACCGATATTAATCAAATCAAACAAAATCAAGTCTTATGTTCTAATTATTTGGGGTCGGTTATTTGAGTTTGTTTTCGTTATTCATTTCAATCATGCGCTATATGCTCATTTAAGTTAAATATTTCATATATTTTCTTATTATTTCGTTTAATGTTAATTTATGTTTACTCCTACTTCTAATACCATTAAGAGAAATTCTCTCATTTTTTTGCACCGGTGCCTCTATTGGTCTTTGTTTAATATGACAAAACTATATTAATCTATTTTCTCTTTTATTTATCCTCAATTGAAGCTACTCCTACCATTTCTCCAATACAGTTATTTCGTATTCTATCTTTTCTAGTTTTTTCACACATTTACCTTAGCATTCTTATTTTCACTACACTCATTTTGTCACTATGTTGTTTTTTAGTTGCCCAACATTTTATCCCATATAACATTGATACTCACGGAATATTAATGTCCCAAACATTGTTAGTTGCCCACAGAATATGACCATGGGTTTGCAAGATTAGTCTCATTAAAATTAAGACTTCAACATTGAAATAAAATCTTCTTTTTCATGTTAATTTCGTTCTCTCTCTCTCTCTCTCTCTCTCTCTCTCTCTCTCTCTCTCTCATCTATCGCATAAACTTTACTGATCCAAACCCAAATCAGAAACATGGATTTAATTATACTATCATGTATATATGTGTGTATGTATGTGCATTGTTAAAATTTTGGTGATATCTATGTATATCTGTATAAATAAATAGGCGGAGAGATTTCCTACAATCATGCCACCGATGTATTGTATATAACTGATATTAGGTCTATCTATCGTGTTGTGTGAGCGTGTTTGTGTCAAAAAGTACTTCATTCATATACGATTCATTTATTAATTGGTGTCTAACAAATCGTGTCATATTGAATGTGCCGTGTATTTATTTTGATTAGTTTCACCCATACCCGATTCGTTTATTAATCGTGTCGTTTCAGGTTCACTAATTTTTGAAATGAATGTCTCTACTTTGGTGTTGTATCATATGTTGACACACTGATATAAATGTGTGTACCAAAATATGATACACACAATCCAGGGCAAAGATGACAAAGGTAAAGGAGCTTTGTTGATGATTCAGCCCGGCTTAAAACGGAGCAAGGCAAATAACATTCTGTACTCCAAAAGATATCTATATTCACAATTTATATTCTAAAAGATTGAAATTTTCATATTACACCTTCAATTAAATAAAAATATTTTCTACATTTTCATCTGATTTAAAATATAAATTGAGAATTTTCAAAACCTTTCAAGGTATAAAGTGTCATTTATCCAACTATCAAACTAACAAGACTAGCCCAACTTGCATGCGGGCTGAAATAGCCCGGTCCATTTCTGATATAGGTCACATCTTACGGTCCCTCTCGCTTCGGTCCTTTATCCAACTATCAAACTAAATAGTCTAGCCCAACTTGCATGCGGGCTGAAATAGCCCGGTCCATTTCTGATATAGGGCACACCTTACGGTCACTTTCCTCTCACGTCAGAAAGGCTATTTTAGTAATTCCGCCTCTACATATGACCCGTGTTTATCCCGCCCACATCTCATTTCTGAACCCTAGTCGGTAGCCGCAGCGACCCATCATCTCTTCGAGTAAAGGTACGTCCCTTCTTTCCACCGATTCCGATGTGTTTTAGGGTTCTTAGCAATTGTGTGTGTGAATATATATATGTGTATATATATCTGTTTGTTTTAATCTCTCTTCTATGTGGACTCACGATGCCAATCTTCTTGTGATTGTGATTTGAATGGTTTGATTAGGTTGAAGCAGTGATCAGCAATGGCTCCTGCTAAAGGTATGTGTTTGAATGCAACCCTTCTTTTCCTCATATAGATATATTTGAGTGTGTTTGTTTGTGTCTGTATATACATATGCTGTTGGATCTTATGTTTAGGGTAGATAATGAAGATGATTATTATGTAATGTTAGGAATATATGTATGTGTTGCGTGTGTGTAATTGTTTACTTATTCAGTAACTGCGGGATGAATTTAGTGTGTGTTTTATCATAAGAAACCATCTGAAATTGGGAATTTCTAATTGTGGGAATTTACTAGCTGGACTAAATGTGGAGCGAGTATGCTCGCTTTTGAGCTATCAAGTTATCAATATGTATAACGAATGTGTAAGCGGGTGTCAATAATGCTGTGGTGCTAAACTAAAGTACTGATGGGAATTAACTGATGTTGGTTGTGGAACTACAACATG